TTCTTGTGTGATATAATATATCAATAATTTTTTAAAATACTTTCCTACAATGTTCTCTCCTCTTGCGAGTTAGTGTTTCAAATATTGTACACATTTTGTAGTGTTTTATTACGCAATAAACGTGCCCGCAAAATAGTTCCCACGAGGATATTCTGAACATTCGTTATACGACAATAAAAAAAAAAAAAAATGAATCGGAAGGACTCCATTTTTGTGAGAATCACATATACTTGATTTGTGCGAATCGCGCGACGATACCGAAGGGGTTAATCTACGTTTTTACGTCTCTCGACGACGACGCGCGGTCGCCTACTCGTCCGCAAGTTCCGCGTCGCGATTTAATTAAACTCTCCGAGCTGGTGCCGAAAAATCGATGCCGCGCCGTCGTTGATTTTACTGGAGGTTCTGCGTCGTGCGAGACTACGAAGCAATTCCGGTGAGATCGGTCGAGTCGATTTAGCTCGCTCGTGCAGAAATCCGCGACCGAAAACTAGTCAGCCGGAGTCCCGAAAAGTTGCGGACCGTAGGGAAAATTCACAGTGACGGCAACGACAGCGGCAAGGAATTGCGCTCGAACTTATTCAATCGAACTAGTTTACGATCGAACTGTGCGAGTATGTGCTTTTACAACCAGGGATTTGACGATATAACCGTTTAAATAACATTCAAATAAGTACGTACGGATGTAAAGTTGCCAAAGGGCCGATCAAACTATACTAGATGTCAAAAGATAAAAAAAAAAAAAAATAGAAAAGTTTAAAATAAAGCTATATAAGATAAAGAAGATTTAGAAATTAAGAAAATATGTGTTTTATCTGAGATTATCGCGATAACGTACGTGCACTATTCCGGATTAATCCGTTACTAATTTCTCGTAACACACGACCTTGTCGCGCGGTTTGCATACGTTCCGTCGGAATAACGAGAACTTGGGATTACGGTCTGCTTTAGTAAGTAATCTATGACCACTCGGTCTGCAGGAACGAAACGAGAGCAGGTTAAACTCTCGGGGGACAGCTCTAAGCCGGGAATGTCACAGTGAAAAATTGCTACATCAACGGACGAATGTGTCCTGAGAGAGAGAGAGAGAGAGAGAGAAAGAGAGAGTGAGAGAGAAAGAGGAAAAGAGAAAAAAAAGAAGAGTTTCGGTTAAAAAGTTACAAAGAAATGCACTCATGTACATTCGTCGAATTTTCTTCCTCATAAATCTGCGGTTTTATGAAAATTCGCCCAATGAAATGCGTTTCCGATGTAATTTTCTTTAGTGGTAAACAATTTTCATTAGATTTATTTAAAATTGTACGATGCGAAATCTGCCGATTCCCACGAATATACAAGCTCGGTTCTGTACATATATGTACTCACCGAGAGTTATAAAATGTTCATCACCTGGACTTTCCCGCAACTGGATGCTATAGTTAACAATTCAACGCTGCGAATTCAAAAAATGCGATCGGTCTTTCGGTCTGCTTCGTTGAGGCTCGCAATAAACGTTGTCGAAAGCAGATTTACATATTTTAATAGATTTCTCAATATGATTTTGCAATTAAATTTTTCTTTCCGGAACACATATGTGATGTATGTGAATGCAAAAATTTGTTAGATTTAAAATAATTTGATAAAAGTAATGCGAAAATCGACAAATTTCTGACCAGAAATTTTGCGCGTTTAAAGTTCGCCTCTCAGGTCATGTCGCACGTTTGAACGATTACATCTCTTCACGACATGTACCGGGGTGACCTGAAAATCCACAGGAGGCAAATTTCCTGGCCACTCACAAGGCCTTTGCTTTATTAAACGGAGCTCGCGTCGACGTCATCTGGTGCAACCGTAAAGCAAACTTATCGTACGTTCTCTCCGGCACCTCGCCGACCCGTATTACGAGGTCGGACAGGAATTAGATTCGAAACGAGGAAACTGCGGAAGACCTTCGGGCGACTTTACAAAGCGCGATCGGCTTTGTCTTGGAGAACGCGAAAGGGGCGTCTTTGCTTTTTGCAAATGCACTGGAAATGCGTATATAAATCACTTACACACGCACGCGCGCCTTAATATATTATATATATTAATCTGCACGGTAATAAAAAAATTCGCGTCGTATTTTTTCTCGCAAAACTTCTTTGCAGTAGTTACTCTACAGTATTTTTTATGATCTTCTTTCTTGTTTTTCATCTTTAAGAGAATATTTTTATGTATGCGCTTCAAGTTGAAATAGAATAAATTTATCTCACACTGTTTCTATAACTGTTTAATGTTAAATAAAAAAACATAATATACAATTTTGATCAAGAATCTTGCTGGAATAAACCAAGGAGGAATTCTTTGATGGAAAACTCCTGTCGATTTTTTGCCGAAAGAAATGGAAGGTGGAAATTCTTTCCGTTATTTTCTGTAAGTCGAATGATGTTTGCACACGGTATGCGACGCGTTTATTACCTAAGAGTGGGAGAGAACGCGGCGCAAATTTTCCTTTCTTAAATTAGGTCGCGCTTTCTGTGACTAACGCACGGCCGACGACGACGACGACGTTTCTCATGAATTGCAAATTCCTGTGTTGTTTTTCCCATCTTTATGGCTTCACCTCGGTCTCCGCTCCTCGTCGAGTTTAACCAGCGTGCAATGAGTTCGTCTTGTTTTGCTAGGAAATAAAATCCGTCTCCCGACTGACAATTTCCGATGGATTCGCGATACGTAATTGAATAATTTGCGTATCATTACACATACAGCGTACCGTCACATTAAAAAAATGCTTTCATTCGAGAAACCAGTTTTCAATAATATTATTTTTCTTCGTAGTTTTTTCAACATAACGATTGATCAAGTTCTACATATGTATCTTGCAAAACAATTTCTATTAAAAAAGATATGTGACGAGTGATTGATATGTGTGTTTGATACACTACAATTATTAATATTTTTCCTATATCAAATTTTTTTAAGCTTTTTAATACGTAAATCTTCTAACGTTAAAATTTATTTAATCAATCTGTCTGTTATCCTCTCGTTAATCTCGCGAGTTTCGTTCAAGTTTTCTCCTTTCGCGTTCTTGAGTTCTTCGCAAGAAAATTACCTCTCTCTCTTTCTCTTTCTCTAATATAAGATCTAAATAAATTATATCTATTTATCTCAACTCGTCCTTGCGGAGAGATCTCTGCTGCAAAAGGAAATTTATCCGTCTATCCATCTATCTCCCAATTTATCAAGACCCGCTTTTTGCAGCAGTCTTTAATTTAAGTCGCGATCGAAGGAGATCGAACGGCAAATCTAATGGCCGTTGATTTACGGAAAGCACGGTTTTTTGGACCGGTAATGGATCCGGTCGGTATTTGAAGCGACGTGAGCTCGGATTTAATCAGGCGGACTACTCTCCTTCGAAAGTCTGAAAGCACGAACGACACATTCACGGTAGAATGAACGGCAGCTTCGCGCGCGCTGATATCCTTGGCTGAATTTGCTCTCTCCTTGACGTTTCGTCTTGATGCGAGAGAACTCGAATTTAATTTATCTAACTTTCAGAATTTTATTTCTTGTCGCGCGCACGCGCCGCGCTCGTTTATAACAAAAATTATACGCAAATAAACAAAAGTAGCGACAAAACCGGTAATCAAAATTTCAGGTTCGAAAAAACGGAAATATGTGTGTGTGTAGGAACCGAAATTATATTATATACATTTCTGTTAAAACGTGTGTGTTCTCGAATATTCATATTTAATGGCTGAGAACTCTCGCACCATGAGATATTTATATGCGACCGTTCTGATGACAAATATTTTTCTTTTCCCCTACTCAATGTATATATTGATTGTCTGTTGACGAATCAAATTCAAGCAGCAAAATGAACAACCAACAATTAATCTTTAGAGAGCCGGATTGACCTACATATAAGCCAGACTTAGCAACTGTATGGTACATGTAGATTAAATATGTGCATAAAGTTTCCGTGAAAAAAGTTTAAGATTTCTATGAAAACAATGCCGGCTCTCTACAGGATGGTTAAGATGTAATAATGCTGAGAAGCACAAAAGATCCGCATCCGTTGACGAGAGAAGCCGCCCGAAAAGATTAGCCGCGCTCCGAAACGGACTGAGTATCGCTGTTGCAATTATTAAATATATATATATAAGTTTTTATATTTAATTAATTAAAAACTGAGAATATCTTGACAAATAATTTCTCTTTCATTTAAATAAATAAATCCGATCCTAAGAAGATTCTACATACGTATTAGATTTTACGAAAACAAAAATAAGCGAACAACGAAGCGTAATCGCAAAACTTTTGTATAAGCCCAAGATGCATAGCCGGGCACAATTAATGTTTCTTTTTCCGTTTGTTTGTCGGTACTTCGTTACATTTCACGCGCTCGAGATAAGACAGATACAAATGCCGGAGCTTCGGAGACAGAAACAAGAAAATGTAGTTACAAGAACAAATCCTTTCGCACGTATCTGGCACAATCATCTCTAATCATCCTCATTTCTTCTTTCAGACTTTCAGACGGTTTTGTTGCCAAGAGCACCGACGGTACAAGAATCGTTGCCAAATTCGCGCCACGTGACAATTATCATCACTACCAACACCGTCGCCATTGCGTATTGGAATTATTTCTTTTAATAAACGCTTTAAAAAACATGCGTTAATAAACAAAACAACGACTAATCTGTCAGCGAAATTATCGGATACTCACGAGACTTGGTCCAAGATCCTCGGACCAAGGATTTGACGTTGAAAACGAAGCATAAACATTTTACGAGGAGGTGATAAAAAAGAGCGACATCATGAAGAGACTTGTCTTCGACGGGAGGAAGTGATCTTCGAAAAAGCAGAGAGATATTCGGCACGTTGCGAGTCAAACGAGTCGGGCCGGGCCCGATCGGTGTGATGGTCTCAGGGTGGTGTCCGTGCGTGCCACTGGGTCGTCGGCAATCGCCGACCCAGCAGCAACAGCAGCAGCAGCAGCAGCAGCAGCCGCCACCGTCGTCGTCCCGGGCACCGTTCACCGTTAGCGGCGCGACCGATCGCGCTGACATGGTGCAGATGTTCTACTATGAGAACCGCGGCAAGTGTTGCAAGAAGCTGCTCAGATACAACGGATATCCGAACAAGGTCAGTCAATTATATCTTTTATTTTCTTTTCTTTCTTTTCGTTTAATCTTATTTCGCAATATTAAAAGTCTAATCTGCTCTCTTGTTTAAAAATAAAATTTTGGGGATTTTTAAAAAAATTGTTTTTTAAGAATACTGACGAGCGCTTTTTCACGGAATGATGCATCGAAATATCAAAGTATAAGCTGCAGACGTTCTTCGGGACGCACGCTAATTATTTTTGACGAGCGTCTTGACAAGCTTCATTCAGAGAGGCACTTAAACTATTCTCTTGAATAAGTTGCAGAGATTTAATGCGCGCGTCTCACTATTGCGCTCACTACTCTGCTGTATGTATACATATACAGTTAAATCCAAATAAGAGCACAGTAAGTTTTGTCTCTCTCGATCAAAAAAAACTTTCGAGTCGTACGGACGTACCATCCGCAAATATAATTTTCTTATTTGTAATATCATACGTTGAGAAAAACTATTCTTCGCGTGAAAATGCCAAGTTACTATCTACTCATTCGCCGCGCTTGATTCTTCCGTTGCGGCGATTATCGACTTTCCCGTCGGTCCTTCTTAATTGAATGTGAATTTAATCACGTTTGTAGAAAAGCAATCGTACCGATCGCATTATATCTCGGAATCTCTTCGATAATTGATCCACAACTAGATATATAAATCTGCTCACATATCCATTTATCTAATGAAACTAACTCTCCATCTCTATCTGTCTATTTATCCGTATAATTAAACCGACTATCCATACCGTTCGATTATATCGCATTTTCCGACCGAGGGAAAATATCCCTTGCATGTTTGATGGTTACAATTGTATTTTCTCTTGACGCGATGATAATTTTCAATTTGCCAGTTTGATATCTATTATATTCAGTATTAACATAAACGTACACACAGTACACTGGTATTGGTGCGTTTAAAAATTAAAAACGCACTTTACAATAATGATAAATTACATAAAAAATGTGTGTTAAAAAATTCTAAAAAAACATATATAATAATATATATGTCACATATGTACGTAAATAGTATATATAAATAAATGCGCAATTCGAAGATTGCGGGCGTATAAATTGCAACTTATCTCGGACGGTTTTCTTTAACGGCCGATTTAGAAAACGCGCGACAAAACGCGCGTCGTAGCGATAAAAGTTTCGCGAAACGAATGTGACCCAATGAACATTCTGTGCTCTACCGGCAAGTTCGGGATCTCGGAGAACTCACGAAGAGTACACCACGAGAGCGAGATAGTTCGAAGTGAAGAAGAAGAGAGGAGTGAGATAGCCATTCCAAGTTCACCGCAGAGATGGGCGAAGTTTCCGAAAGCCCCCTGGGAAATAAATCGATTCGATATCTGAATAGCCATTATGCGGACGTGGCTTCGCGGAATAAAGGCAGCACGCCGTTGAAGATGGGTGGCGCGAGGAAGACGGTGACAACGAGGGAGAGACGGGCGAGTCTCAGGAGAGATGCGCAGGAGGGCCTTATCCTGGAACTGGGCTAATGTTCCGAGTTGGAAAACTCGTGGCTCGTATCGACCGGAATTTTCTTTCAATAACCGAGTTATTATTCATCTCGGTCATTTATTACATAGTCGGCTCGTGTCATCTTTCCGTGTCATCTTTCCGCGAACATTTTGCAGACGACACACACCTTTTCTCTCTCTTTCTTTATCTCTCTCTCTTTTCTAACTACGTTCTAGCTAGAAACTTCTGACGAGTTTCTTCCCACGCGTCAGGGAGGAACAAAAATGGCAGGTGGTTCGAAAAGAACCGAGTTTTCGGCGTGCGACTGTCAGTTGATTGGCGATCGATTACGGAAAACAGGGCGCGACGCTTATCTCTCTCGTTGGAATTTTCAATTGTCCGATAACGTAGAGAAAAACTGCGCAAAAGACATCAACTTCTCGCTCTCGGACAGATTCCCTATTTTCTTGCTCGCTCGGAATATGCTTTTTCGTCTGGTATATCTTGCGCATCAATCTTAGACATTACGCGGATGCTCGGGTCTGGAAAATCTAAGAGTTATCCAGGACCAGAAATATGAGCGCGGTAACTTCCTATTCTGCCAAGATATTCTTCCCGAATTCCCGACTGCCATTCTTGTAATACTTCGAAATATAAGTGAATTCTTGAGATATCATCTCACAGTTGCGCTTTATATAGCGTTATGTAGTCATTCTCAACAATTGATAGTTACATTACTATTTATTACATTGTTAAAATTATCTTCCTCTTTTCTTTCTCTCTCATTTGCGTAAATTTAATGTTGTCTATAGATTTAGGAGATGTAGACATATTGATATTCAGATTGCCTATGAAATATTCATTACGAACGTTTATCTTCGCGAAATATCACAGACCGAATGTTACTTCAACTCGTGCAAATATTATATCTCGATTGATTCGTTAGTCGCCGTGTAGCTATTCCCAGTCGTCGTCACGCTATTGTAGCGTAAAAAGCAATGTAATTTCTAACAATAGTCGTTGAGAGACTAATAATACTTTTACCGCGCACACTTTAGCTACTCACGTCCGACATCGTGTACTTTTTACTCGTCAATATGTCATTGACGATAATGCCGCGCAGTTATTTTTACACGCCCTTCGATAACTTTAATGCGAACTAAATGGTAAACGTGGAACGTGCACCTAAGACAGAAAATAAGTTGCAAATTGAATACATGAATTACTTATATGTGAAGAGAAGAAAAAAATAAGATTTTAACGCAAACAAAATAATATAAGCGCACAAATAATACATGTATAAATGTTAAAAACAATTTATTTTTTAATACTCTACCTAATTACCAATAATCGTTTCATGCAAAATATAAATATTAGTATAGTAAATAAAAATTATTTAAATATTTAAATAATTAATAAAAATAAAAACTAAGTAAATTAACTAAGAGTTGAAGACTCATTAAGTTTAAAATCAACCGAGAATTTTAACAAGGTGATAAGAATCTCTCGCTTTGCGATATCACTCCGGAAAGCGAGAGATTCGACTCCTAGCTGAAATGTTTTTTTTTTTGCAATATAATTTCTAAATTAGTTGGAAAGATCATATATGTGATGCAAGTATAGCATTCTTTATGAATTGTACAAATTGAAATTTTGAATAATCAAGTGTAAAAAATGTACACTTCTAAAAAATAGAAATATACATTCACATGTATTTATTTCGCAGGACATCCAACGAATTGGATGTCTTGATCACCTGTTAAATTTCTCGGTTGGTTTTAAAACTTAAATATATTGTATTAAAAAAATTAGTTTTAGATATTTCTACACAAGAAGACTAGAAAGAATAAAGACAAAAGAGATCTCCCCTCGAGATAGAGGCGATCATAAACGTCGGCTCTCATACATTGTTTATCACCGCAAAAAACACGAAAAGAAAGTTTGATAGAAGAAGAAAATAATTTACGAAGAAAGAAAGTGGCGTGTATGGATGCGCCGGCGGTTTTAATCCATCACGCTCGATGTGCTGGTGATTAACGAGCGTGTCGCACTGACCTCCCTGGATCTGCGACTTAACGCGCGCTGACACGTGTTTCGTTAACGGCAACGGCTGCGGTATCGACTTCGTCGAGAAGGTTTCCTCGCGACGTCTATCGCGCGCTGATTAATCGCTTCACCTTTCCTGTTTCGCGGATGATCAATGTACGTTTCACGGACAACGGGCGAAAGCCCAAACGTTCACTCTCCCATTGTCTGACATTCGAACAGCGGTAATTAACGACTATTTGCGGACAATCGCGTCTCCCGCACAGAAGTCGACTTTTTTACGCGGCTAAAAAGCTGAATGCTCCGGTAATATTGGTTTCGGGGTGTCAATATTGCATATATCTCTCTTTGTAAAAAATTAAAACAAAATTTATTGTAGCACATTAGTCGCAAAAAATTTACGTTTTTTTTTAACAATTAATTAATTTTCATTAATAACATTAAAAATATTTTTATGTTCATTGAATAGATAGAGAAAAAATAAAGTAGCACATTTATACATGTATATGTATATGTTCTTCTCCGGTGCGATTCACGTGGAATGGAAAAATAATACTTCATGCGTATACTCTGGTAAAAAAAAATTAACGGGCTCGCTTAGTTTATAACTCACCTGCGTCATCTATTTGTTCCTGTTAAAAGTTAATTAGTGAGTCCGGTGAAATTGCCCCAAGGGATCCGTCGAGAAAAACAGCGAGGAGGATCCAGGAAAATACAATTCTTCCACGAGAAATCTCTACTGCCCTAAAATATTGAATAAATATCGCTATTAAAAGTGCGCGCTAATTAAAAGCGCTAAAATTGTCCATAAAAATAGGCGAGCGATACAAATGACACCACCAAGAAAAAAACGATATTCAAATATATCATCGTCGCGCTGTTAAAAGTGGCGGACGAATAAAATTATTCGCCCGCGCGCACTCTTTCTCCGCGCGTATTTATGCACATGCAAAGTGCACGACGATGCACTTTGTCACGAGTGCACAGTACGTTCCCAGTCATGTGCATTCGCAAGAAACGATGCGGTTACAATTTACTCGCGACAGCGTCGTCGTCGCCGTGTATCTTCGGCAACATTTTACTCCCATGACGCGACTCACTCGTTCTTTTCTTTTCTTCTTCTCTGCCGCTTCTTTTCCCTTTCACTCTTCGTCTCTCTCTCTCTCTCCGTTTACGGAAAATTTTCGCGCCGCGGGAATAAACGCGCGAATCGTCCGCGACAAACGAGTTTTCCGCGGTCTTTGAGAGTCGGCCGAGCGGCGACGAGTAATTCAAATTAGCGGCAGCGCAAAGCGAGCGATTTTCGTGCAAAGTAGTCGCTTCGCGAATGGCTCTTCGCGAGCGGACGGAGAGAGTAATTGCTTTTTAACAAGCGTCCGGGAATCTAGCGCGCTCATTATGGTCGGTATGTCTTTATCTCGCTTTGGCCGATAGATATATGATTACGTGTGTGTGGGTGGATATATATGAACACAATAACAC